CTAGGTTGGTTCCACAGTTTAGCTATTGTGAATTGTGCTGAGAGGAAACACTTGTACTGTTTGGTAGACTGAAATCAATTCTTCATCTCTCACTTATGGTGCCCCCAGGGCCATGATCATATGAAAGCATGGATGGTAGTGTTAAATTAGAATATATATATATATATATATATATATATATATATATATATATATATATGTATACATACATATATGTATGTTCATATATTGAGAGTTATATTGGATACATGTATATAAAGTTATGTATATATATACACACACACACATTAATGTGTATTTATACTGTGCTATCTCTGGCAAGAAAAGCGAAATCTTTTTGTTATTAACAAATATTTTTTGAGTTTATTGTGATCTTGATGGTTTTATCTGGCTTTTTTGGTGAACACAAAAATATAGAAATGAATATTGTTTTTGTAAGGGGAACTGGGGTTTTTTTTTAAATGGTAGCACACTTTGATTTTTTTTATTTTTATTGATTTTATTTTTTTAAATACATGGTAGTGGAATACATTACAATTCTTATAATATATATAGAGTACAATTTTTCGTATCTTTGTATATAGAGTTATGTTCATGCCAATTCATGCCTTTATACATGTACTTTTTTGTATTACAATTCTTATTACACACAATTTTTCATATCACAATTTATACCACAATTATAATTTTTCATATCTCTGTTTACATATAAAGTATGTTGCCACCTAATTTGAGTCTTCATACATGTACTTTGGATAATGATGCCACTCACATTCCATTGACCTTGCTAATCCCTTGCCTCCTCCCTTTCCCTCCCACCCCTCTTCCCTATCTAGAGTTCATCTAATTATCCCATGTTCCCCCTCCCTACCCCACTATGAGTCAGCTTCATTATATCAGAGAAAACATTCAGCATTTGTTTTGGGGGGATTGGCTAACTTCACTTAGCATTATCTTTTCCAGCGCCATCCATTTACCTGCAAATGCTATGATTTTATTCTCTTTTAATGCTGAGTAAAATTCCATTGTGTATATATGCCACATTTTTAAAAATCCATTCATCCACTGAGGGGCATCTAGGTTGGCTCCACAGTTTAGCTATTGTGAATTGTGCTGCTACAAACATTGATGTGGCTGTGTCCCTGTAGTATGCTGGTTTTAAGTCCTTTGGGTATAGTCTGAGGAGAGGGATAGCTGGGTCAAATGGTGGTTCCATTAGCAGATTTCCAAGGAATCTCCATACTGCTTTCCATATTGGCTGCACCAATTTGCAGTCCCACCAGCAATGTATGAATGTGCCTTTTTCCCCACATCCTCTCCAACACTTATTGTTGTTTGTCTTCATAATACCTGCCATTCTGACTGGAATGAGATGATATCTTAGAGTAGTTTTGATTGGCATTCTCTGATTGCTAGAGATGATGAACATTTTTTCATATATTTGTTGATTGATTATATATCCTCTTCTGAGAAGTGTCTGTTCAGGTCCTTGACCTATTTGTTGATTGGATGATGATGATAATGATGATGATTATTTTAGTGCTTAGCTTTTTGAGTTCTTCATATGTCCTAGAGATGAGTGCTCTATCTGATGTGTGAGGGGTAAAAATTTGCTCCCAGGAGCAAACCTCATAGATTGTTTCTTTTCCTGAGAAGAAACTTTTTAGTTTGATTCCATCCCAATTATTGATTCTTGGTTTTAATTCTTGCACTATAGGAGTCTTATTAAAGAAGTTGAGGCCTAGTCCACACATGATGAAGATTAGGACCTACTTTTTCTTCTGTTAGATGCAGAGTCTCTGGTTTAATTCCAAGTCCTTGATCCATTTTAAGTTAAGTATTGTGAGGTGAGAGATAGGGGTTTAATTTCATTTTGTTGCATACAATTTCCAGTTTTCCTAGCACCATTTGTTAAAGATGCTATCTTTTCTCCAGTGCATGTTTTTGGCACCTTTATCTAATGTAAGATAATTTTAATTTTGTGGGTTAGTCTCTGTGTCATCTATTTTGTGCCATTGGTCTCCCAGTCTGTTTGGTGCCAATACCATGCTGTTTTTGTTACTATTGCTCTGTAGTATAGTTTAATGTCTGGTATAGCGATGCCACGTGCTTCACTTCCGGCTAAGGATTGGAAAAGCAAAATCTTAAGCTGTTATCTCAGGAGAGTCATATTGTTGTCACTTCAAATGAACGAAATATATAATATTAAACTGTCTTTATAATAAATATTACTGACTTTATTTCTTTAATGGCATTAATAACAATCAATTACCAGTTTCAACTATGAGCAACCCTCTATGAGTATAAATATTTTTACAATGTTCTCTTTAGTTGGAAAGTGCATTTAATATACCATTTTACTTTTTAATATTTATTTATATTATTTATTTATTTACATTGGAATCAATTATAAAATGTAATATAATTTTCATTTATATGTTTTTAAACTTAAGCACAGTTAATTAGAGGTGATATTTTATTCATCGGTTATTTTTATATTTATGTCTTATATTTCTTCTCAGTTACAGGTAGTTTAAATGAAATCTTAACTATTTTTTTTCCCAATTTTTGACCTGAGATCTCTTCTATATCCACACACCTTCCTTTTCTTGTCTTGTAGTACCATAATACATGCTTACCAGGATGGTTAATATGTACAAAACAAAGCTGTTGTTTTTATGTTTTTTTTAGTATCCAAACTTTACCCCTCACACTTTTCTTTATCACAGTAAATAGCAACATCCTTCTTCATTTTCTCAGGCCAGCAACTTTGGCCTCTTAGTCTTATACCACATAATTGTTACATTGTCAAATCCTTTGTAGTATATGCAGAACTCTGTCCAAATCTACCTCCTTCTTCTCTGTCATTGTGTATCAAACCACTGTCATCCCTCTCATGGATTCTTTTTTTTTAAAAAAAAAGAGAGAGAGAGCAGTGGACACAACATCTTTATTTTATTTTTATGTGGTGCTGAGGATCGAACCCAGCGCCCCAGTATGCCAGGCAAGCGCATTACCGCTTGAGCCACATCCCCAGCCCTCTCATGGATTCTTGATGTAGCTTCCCAGTTGTCTTCCTGCTTCTAAGCTTGTCTTTAAATATCTTCTCCTCCTTGAAGCTGAAATGATCTTTTAATCACATGCATTATATCATGACACATCTCTGCTCCTGCCTTTTGGAAGCTTCTCTCTTTAACCTGGAAGGAAGCCCAATGGCCTCCTAGTATGATCTAATTTCCTTCCGCTTCTGTAGCCTTATCTTCAGCATTCTGTCTTTTGCTCATTCTACTGTAGTCTGACTACTGGCCTTCTTGATGTTCTTGGAATATACCAAGCTAACATAAGGGCCTTTACAGTTGTTATTCTCTCAGGCTGGAATATGATTTACTCTGATCATTACTTTGTTTAAATCCTCAAATAGCACCTTTATCAGAGACAACTTTCCTGATCACTCTAAGTAAATTAATACCTCCTCAAGCTCTTCTTACCTCTATCCTTTTTGGTTACTCTGTAAAGCCCTTGTAACTACCTAACATATTTTATATATATGTGTATATAAAATATTATATATACACACACTATACATTTGATATATATCATATATATATCATTTTATATGTTACATATAACCTATACATATATATAACGTATACATTACATATATATGTTATATGTATATTAGCTTTTCATTGCTTTGACCAAAATACCTGACAAGAACAGCTGATAGGAGGAAAAGTTCATTTTGCGCTCCCCATTTCAGTGGTTCAGTCTATGGTCGGTTGACTCCATTGATCTAGGCTCAAGATGAGGCAGAACATCATGGTGTAAGGGTGGGGTGGAGCAAAGATGCTCAGTTTATGATGGCCAGGAAGGAGAAAGAGAGAGAGAGAGAGAGAGAGAGAGAGAGAGCGAGCAAGTTTCGTTTTCCACAAAATATAAATCCTACTGACCTACCTCCTTCAGCCACATGCTACTTGCCTACAGTTACCATCCATTAAACCATTCAAATTATTAATGCATCAAATGGATTAATCCACTGATTAAGATACAACTCTTATAATTTAACCTCTGATTATTCTCGCATCATCCCACATGTGAGCTTTTAGGGGACACCACATACCCAAACCATAATACATATATAGTCTTTTAACTTACATTCCTCACTAGACTACAAGTTCCATGATATCCAGGACTAACTATGATTTTCTTTTTATTAACCCCTGGTGTTTATAACAATGCCTAAAATGTAATTAGTGTTCCATTAACATTTGTGGAATAAGGAAATAAACCATCATAAACATGTTCTGGTAGAATCTGTTTTGTTTAGATTCCAGTAGTACTAGTCTAGACATTTTCTGATGCTTCCTTCTTCTCTTTTTGCCTAACTCTCACCACCAAATCTCAAAAAGTCCTTTTATTGTTTATCTCCAAAAACATTTTTTTAGAATGATCTTTGGAAAATTTGTGAAGATGAGAAAGCTCTATTTTAATATTAGTTATATGGATGTTCTAATGAAATCCGGGCCAAAAAAACCCTTGTTTCTGAGAAGTTGATTTGAGAAGTCCATTGAAGCATAAGGCTATGAGTGGGCAGCACCACCAGCTCAGCTCATAGAGGACAGAGTGACTCATCCTCCAAAGTTCACTGCACTTTCCCCATGATATCATTAATTTCATAGTGTCCTAGAGGTTAGGTTTACTGTGAAACGTACATCCAGAAAGATTCAGTAAAACTGATGGCTCAGTCATTCATTGCCAACACTCACAGAGTAATCCTCATTTCTGAGGGGAGAGAACAGAGACAAACCTGAGGACCTGGCCCTGGGAACTTGGCTTTCCCATCATAGATGCAGAGGCTGTGACCCCAGTGTATGAATTGCCTAATATTTGGAGCCCATCAACATATCCCAAAGGTGTCAGTTGACAAATTTAACATATCTTTTAACCTCCAATATGTATTTTTAATTTCATTAACCTCCAATATGTATTTTTAATTTCAGAGAGAACTGGTAGATACCAAAGTATCCTGTCAGTCCCTACTAATGATATTGCAGTGACAAAATGGCAGACATTGTAAGTGATAAAATGACTTTATTGAGCAAAATAAACAAGTTCTTTTGCAACTAACCCTAGCAATTAGCCTCCTAAATATGTAAGAAACAATCTGTTTCAATTCAGATAGTAGTAGATAACCAGCTATCTGCCACATATATTTCTCACAATTTTAACAATAAAAAATGTTATTTCATTATAAGCTGTACAATGGATTTGGTTAACTCAGTTTTTTTTCTAAGTGTGTTTTTCTAATTGTGCATAAAGCCTCAGTCTCAAGAATCTGAAATGAAACTAGTAGCATAACCTCTCTTGATCAGCTATCCACTTAATGGTCTATTGCTAGATTTTGAGAACTCTTAAGAAATATAAGGCATACTTCCTGTCCTGAAAGTGCTTTCATGGTCTAAACAAATGTAAACAGTAAATCAATGTATGCACAATGATTGTCTGCAAACTAGACATTTACAGATGCAAAAGTGTGGTGATCTGGTTACTACAGTATAAATTCCAGAGTTTCCCTAGGTTTTTGGATGAAAAGAGCTTGGGATCACAGAAGGTAATGGAAAGTATAATATCTGAAATTCCAAAAATTTTGTTTGGATTATGTTACTATGTGCTCTTCATTATTCTTTCTCAGTGAATTGAATGTCTATTTATTGAATAATTACTATGTGTAAAATCCTGCATCCACATATTTGTGCATTCAAAAATATATTGTATCATTTAGTTCTGAAAGATTACTAGTAAGGGAGACACTGCTTTTTCATTAAGAGAACTAGCTTAACCCTAGCTACACAGAGCATGAATACCAAAACTATAACCTAAACCAAGATGTCTTATTCCCAATTGATACTCCTTTCAGTATACCATAGAAGAAGAAAGTGGGGTAGGGGCATGTGGAATATAAGGGAGACCAATGGTAGGATAGATGTTCCAGTAAATGAGGGGAGGCAATGTTAGCATGAGATAGAGTGTCCCTATCTTATTTTTGGCATGAAATGCACCCTACATAGAACCTCACATATAATTTTCTAAAATTGTCTGTAAGCAAAGATATGAATTATTTCCTTATACTGGTACTTCTAAAGTTGGTTTATTGAAGTTTTTAAAAGAGTATTTTATGTTATGAATTTTACAAAACTTTACAACACACCATAGTTTAAAAATCCTTAAACTGTGTGTAGAAGGTTTGGACAATCTTTGATGTACTTCTTGTAAAACAGGAAATGTATTAATCCTGAGTCCCACTCTCCCCATCCTATCTCTCTGCCAGAGAATCCTATGCTTATTGTTTTATCTCTCTAAGTACAAATGCAGAGACCACAGTCTTGAGTTTTCATCTTTAAACTTTATCTGTGTCCTTGCTATGGCAGATAATAGGTAACATATGAGGATTTTGCTCTCTTACTCCATCTTTCAACTCTATTTTCCCTGTCTTTTTTGATAATCATGTCACTATAAACGTACACATTTTCATATGGCTTCTATTTCTTGTTTTATTGACTTTAGACAGCATTTCCTGACTCCCTGCTTTACATAATGAATCTATTAACCCCCACCTTTCCTTCCATCTATTCTTTCGTTTCTACCTGCATCCTTTCCAAGATGCTAACTTTTTAAAAAAAATTTCATTCTACAGGTATAGTTAAGTCATCTATGCCCACATCCCTGAACATATTGTTTCCTATTATAGATATAGCCCTGTTATTCCTTCACTAAAATCTTGATAGGTTCTGGAAATGAAAGAGGAGAAAACATCTAGTTTAAGTTGGGTCTTTCACTTATAACAAATTTTCTTCATACCCTGTTTTAAAATGAAAAAATCCTAGCTTTGTTTTCTTTTCAGGAGGAATATCCACTATTCTTTAACTGATGAAAGTATCCTCTTACATATTGCTACATTTATATTGGCTGAATCGTCAGGGTTTTTTTTTTCAGCTAAAAAACCCTTAAAAATAAAGATGTTATATGGTTTAACATCCATTGGGGTTGGAAATACTCATGTTAGTGTATTACTTCACTCTCTAGATGTTACTGTATTATGAGATATGGCAGGGCTGTTAATATTCCCCTCTTGGGGCAAGAACTCTTACTGTGTTATGGACCAAGCAATGACCAAACAGACTCCATTTTACCCTGAGACTCCATATCATGTAAAAAAATCTTCTCCCATGGGAAAGCCCTGCCTCTGTACCCATTAAGAGTTACCTAGAATAGTAGTATACTTGGCAACACAAAATAGCAATTCTTATGTAAAATCATTCTCTTTGGTTTCCATTTTTCTTGGGCAAATGTACCTTGTCAGAGATTGATTGTCTAGACATTAGTAACCATTCTCTAACTTGTACTGAACTAGGGTCATTTTGATCCACTTTCCTTCTTCTTGCTTGCTGCTATGCCAATTTGGAAAGGCCTGTGGGAAATATAAATGTACTCGTTGCATTGTCTTGCTAACTGCCCAATTCAGCTTCTGTACCTGCTTGTTTGCAGCTACATCAACCCGGATGTGGGTTTTGCTTTTAAATATTCTAAAATGCTCAGGCTTGGGGCTGCTTTCTGCAGAGACAATTTGATCCTGTGGGAAGCAGTCCTGACCAGTTGGAATAAAGACTCTTCACTTTGGACAAACTTGGGACTTGGTGAGTTTTCTGAGTGACCTGTCCCACAACAACTGTACTTTTATATGAATATGCTTAAATAGCATAGATTTCTTGTCAATGTTTGGTATATTATTCTGGCAAATCCTTCTCCCCTTTTGCCAATGTTTTGATCTTTTGAAAGTCTGCCAATAGGGTTCTTAGTGGCTCTAAATTTGGGGAGTTTGGACTTCTCTGAATAGGTGCCTCCTGCCTTATTGTTGCTCTTATTGTAATTCTTTTGAGTTGTTCTGTTTCTTGCTCTTCCCAGTTCAAAGTCCTAGGAGGTGACTTCCTTCCTTGGGGGATAGATGTATCTGGTTGACATTCAAACTCAGTTCATATTTTACTGAGCCCTCTTTGAATTTTTCCTCTTCTTTTTGAATACATCCTGCTCTCCATCTTCACAATCAGCCAGAGTTCCCCTCAACTTTCCCTTGAGAGTTTTCACACACTTTTTCCTGTGTCACTTTTCCCAGAGCATGATAAGGAAGTGATTTCTCTTTTGTTTTTGGTAGCCTTTCAGAAACACAGATTAGATAATCAAGAAGGGACTTTGAAGTCATTGGACTTCCACTTTCAGCATTAGACTTTTTGGGGGGCAGAGATCAAGATTGCAGGATTAACTTTTTTAGTATCTCACTCTGATAATTTTACATATAAGAACAATAATTCATTAGAGAATATATATTGGGTTCTTCTATGTGACAGACATACTGGGGGTATTACGGCGATTGAAGAACAGGTATGGATTCTATTCAGGTATTAATAAAATAATCACACAAATGTAAAATTGCATAAGATGGTGGAGAGGATGAACAGTGCTATGAAAAATTTATCATAGTTCTAAAAGGTGGGGAAGAATAATTTAGGAATGGGCATGTGACTTATGAGGAAATGGTATGATTTTATTTGTACTGAAAAATGGTATGATTTTATTTGCTGGGTGTGATGGCAGATGCCTGTCATCCCAGCAACTCGGGAAGCTAAGGCAGGAGGATCACAAATTCAAAGCAGCCTCAGTAATTTAGTGAAGCCCTAAGTAACTTAGTGAGATCCTGTTTCAAAATAAAAAGGGCTGAGGATGTTGCACAGTTGTTAAACACTACTGGGTCTCCTGAGTTTAATCCCTGGTACCCTCCGACCCCCCTCCCCAAAAGATGATTCAGATTGACTGTACTGAACGGGGGCCAGAAGGAATGAGAGCACAACAGTGACAATAATGGGGCAGGTGAGATATGGTTGTCATAGCTATTTGGTGGGATCTCAGATTCTGCATTCTGAAAGCTCTCAGGTAATGTTGATGTTTGTGATTCTTATATCACATGAGAATAACAAAGCTTGAAGACTTTCGTTTTACCTTCTCAAGTTGCCACTAGCTAGAAACTTTCTGGAAAACCTGATACCTAAATTTGCTTACAGGGCGCTATTTTAACAAACTGCAAGCCTGAACCAAATCCTTCATGGCTCAGGGCTTTGTGTAGGTGTGTTAATGCTTTCAGGGTGAATAACTTCCACTGAGCAGTATAGTAAATCAAACCATCACAACAAAAAATATGAATTTCTGGGAGGGATTTATCTTTTCTGACTCATTCCAGTACCTCACGTGCTCTTTAATTCTGTGTGGGCTCAACCTAGGGGCAAGTCTGTAGTTGGTAAATGTGACCACAAATGGATGTAAGATCAGGCATTACCAACCCCCTGCCCAATAGATGCTAACTGGTATTTTTACATGACCTGAAGGGAAAGTGACAGGAATTAATTCATGTGCTCAATACCTGATAGGTGAATTACCCCATCATGAGGGCACAGATATTCTTCAACAGCAGAAGTGCAAGTCATCCTAAGGTGGTAGTCCCTGGTACATGTGCTCCTTGTTATTTAGTCATACATTTCAGTTCCATGGTTTTATTACCCACAAGTTTAGCTATACGTGGGCTCTGTCTTGTCTAGTGAGGAGGTCCACAGAACAGGGTAGAGATACGTGGGCTCTGTCTTGTCCAGTGAGGAGGTCCACAGAACAGGGTAGAGTGTGGCTGTGAAGTCACGAATTAAGACCTCCAGAGACCAAGCTGGAAGCAGGTCTGATTTTATTGCGTAGTTACCATGTATGTATATTCGGGCAGTAGTTAAGCAGATTATAGGCAACAATACAAGTTCTGGCCAACTGTCCTTACCAATTGAGGAGTGGGCCGTACATGTGGCCTGACGCTCAGGGGGCTGTGCCTATGGGGTAAGCAGCCCCTGAGACCACAACATGTGGCCTCAAGCCCAGGGCACTGTGCCTACAGGGTAAGCAGCCTGGCCCTCATGTGCCCAGCACATGATTAGATTAGAGATGTAGTTAAGTATAATAAAATGAAGAGAGTGGCCTGCCAGTTAGGCACCATTAACATATGCCACATATGCAGCACTCCATGTACTTGTCCCCAAATAGCTATATAGTTTT